CGCGCAGGGCGCGCTCCCCGTCTCGGCTTCGCTTTGCCTTGAGCACGGGGTCGGGGTCACTGCCGCGGCCGACGGCCTGCGGTGGCTGGTAGAGGGGAGAGGGCGCTGCTGTCACCCCGGCCCGAGGGCGGGGCAAGGACGGGATCCTCTGGAAAACCGCCGGCCCGGAGTCGTCCAACCTGTGATCTTTACGACTGCGGTACCTGAGCTGACACTGAAAGACGTGTCCGAGGTCGCAAGGGAGATAAGCCGCAGAGAAAGGAAACCGCAGGACCCCAGACGGTCCCTCCCGAGGGCCTGGGCACCGGGGAGACGGGCTCTGTGCGGCAGAGATTACGGAAAGATGCTCTGCGCGCGTTATTCACCCCCCACGCAGCCTTCGACCAGCCGATCCTCTTCTTAATTACACTTTCTTTACGTGGCCTCCAGGGCACCAGTTTCCTTCAGTTTCCTTTGCTGTCCACCGCCCCCCCCGTCCCCCACGCACACTTCCTCGCGTGCTCCCAGGTCGCGCGGTATTTGGATCTTCTCTCACTCTGCACACTCCTAATAATCTCATTCAGTCTGTTGGCTTAAAGTACTATTAATTTACCAATGACGTCCAAATTTCTCTCTCTATCCTAGATTTCTAAGCCCCAGATTTGAATATCCAACTTGTCACCTTCCCCTCAAATGTCTGATGGACAACTCAAAGTTAACACGCTCCAAACTAACCCACTGCCCCCCCCTGCAGCCTTCCCCATCTCAGTTCATGGCAACTCCATTCTTCGTTCGTGGACCGGACTTCTCTCACAGTCCAGGAAGTCCTGCGGGTTCTGCCTTTGAACTATTTCCAGATCCAGCCACTTCCCCCCACCTCCAGCGCTTCACCCTGGAATAAGACTGCCCTTCCGGATCGCCGCAATGGGCTAACAAATCTTAATGCCCTACAGTTTATTTTTAAAAACATTAAGACATGTCACAAAACTTTGAAATGCCTTCCCCCTTTCCTCAGAGTGAAAGAAAAAGGCCGCAGGATGGTCTCCAAGGCCCTGTATGATCTGGTCCGTCCTCTCTCGCCTCCCCACAGCTCACACCGCGCCACCCGCACTGGGGTCTGGCTGTTCCTCGAAAACACTGGGCACACGTCCTCCTACGGCTTTTTCACTGGCTGCTGCTGAGACGTGGAATGCTCTGAGCCTCAGCTGTCAGCTTGGCTAACGCCCTCACCGCTTTCAAGTCTTTGATTGTCACCTTTCTAATGAGGCCTCCTTGGATCCCCTTATTACTGCGACCCGCCCCACCCCTTCACACTCCTCCTCTACTCCATTGCAATTATCTCCTCACGTACTAAACAATTTCCTTACGTTTACTGTTCAGGTTGGTTTTCTCATTGTTAGAAGTTACGTTCCATGGGGCAGGGATCTGTGCTTACCGACATATTCCAGGCACCTAGAATAAATAGTGCCTCGCTCATAGGAGGCCCTTAACCGGTATTTGCTGAGTGGATGAATTTTAACCACAATGTTGCTTTTCTTTTTTCAATCTATTTTTTTTTTTTGAGTTAGTGGCCAATGTTTAAAATAATTGGACAAGTTTACCACAAAAATCTGTCCAGTTTCTGTCGAAAAATCATAGTTTGGTGCC